AAACTTTTTAATTCATCGATTGTTTCACCATTGCAGCTTTACCAGGACTGGTAGTACAAAAACTGTTTAAGATAGTATTGATAAGGACACCGACAACTCTTATAATACTTGCAAGAAATATGTTTCCACATTATTGATATCCAAAATAAGATAAAATGCAAGTGATACAACTGTATAAGTGTTGACTCAAAAAAAAAATAAAAAAATAGAAAACAAACATTCTGTTTATGAATGCTAAAATATAAATTTAGGTGTAAACTTTATGATTTTTTTTCTAAATACAGGGTGTCCCACAAGTCTGGACCTATAGGGGAAATATACCATTTATTCTTAATATCTTTGTTATTCAAATTGCATGCTAGTAACAGCCATACCCATATCAATTCTTGGTATACTGTGTCATCAGGGTATTTTCTTTCTTGAAATATGTACAACTGACATTAGAAATGTGTATTTTCCCTATGGGTCCAGACTTCTGGTACACCCTGTATAATCCTAACTATTTTATTACAAAATTCTGCAATGTTTATCTTTAACTGTTATTTTCATATTAATCACATTACTAGAAATAAAGATATAAGCCTTAAGATCATTGAATTATAATCTATCTGAGCTAATCATAATGAATTTGTAGGCTTTCTAATCGATTTTAGTACTCACTATTGCTAGTATAGGTCTAGTGTTTCCAATTAATAGCATTTTCTATTACATCAAGTAATAGAAACATTCGCATTATGATTAGCAATTAATTTGAGATTGTTCATCATACTTGATTTATATCATGACTCAAAAAAAAATTAACTATTTGAAATTAGAGTATCTGATTATTACTGCTTTTGATAAACTCTTTTGCTATGGCAGGGTCAAAATGCATATGTCATGATATTTTACAACGTCATATTCAAAATTTAATTATATCATTTTATTAACAATGCATGTCAATAAACTTGGCATGAAAACATAGTATATAATTCATATTTTTATATTATTTGAGTCCTAGCTTCTTAATTTCAAAAAATTCATTAAAAAATTATGATTTTCATTCTTGCGTCACATGACACTTAAGAGTTCTGACTTCTCCTATTTAGATTTTTTAAACATTAAATATAGACTACTGTAGTTTCCAACCAAGTAGAAACATAAACTATACATAATTACAAACAAGAATATGAAACTTGCACCTCCTAATTTCTTGATTTATCAACACTTATTGCAAACCAACTTTACATGGCCGATGAACATTGCTTATAACCAATAAGAAGAGCAGAATTTCCTCTAAGGAAAGCTAGTTGCTAGGTGTTTAGTTCTGGTGCCTATAATATTCACTTGACTGAAGTCTTTAGCTGTGTGATCATTATATTGTTACTCTGAACATCTGACAGAATGTTTTTAACTTATTTACAGTTTACTTACAAAGCCTATTAAATTATTGTTTTGGGAACATTCTGTTCTTGTGACACATATATGTTTTGTGTTCTAAGATTCATATTTGAAAGTTATATGAATTCTTTTTTTTGGACACCCAAGTTTGAGAGACTCAACGAGGCTTACGGAAGAACATTTACTCGAGTGCAAACTGCCTCAAGCATAAGTGAATACTATAAATCCCTGTTTCTTATGAATACTTTTTTATTGTTCTATATTTTTAACAAAAGTAACTAAAATATAAATATTATAAACTTCTCAGCTTAAACTAGCAAAACATCAGTAAAATAAAATGTTTAAAATCACAATAGCTTGACCCTGTGTAATAGGATACCTCACGATCACATGGTGTTTACTGTAGCTCTCATGAAACAGGTAATTAGCTTCAGCTGTGATTTATTGCTTTTCATGCAACAATTACTACTTCATTAGGTACAAATATAAAAGACATTGGTGAAACCAGCAAATTAAATGATTTACAATGTTTACTAAAAGCTTGCAAAATTTTGTGAGGAAATGCGTAGCAAATTCAGAGTTATACTATGTATAGCTTCACAGATATGGGCTCGGTTCAATGGAACAACACTAATCTTAAAGTGTCAATCCAACTATTCAAGTAATCAATATATTTTAGCTATTTCTGCATGACCGCATATGTTCTGCTTGTATGTCTCTGGTTAGATAACTAGTCACGGTGATGTGTTTATCTTGCATGTCTAAATAATAGTGCTGCTTTAACTTAATATATTGTTTACTTATTACAGATACAAACATAAGCAGTTACTTAGGGTGAGAATGCTCTAATAAAAAGTTATGACAAGTTAATATTCATTATTCTTTATTTACTAAAGAAAAAAAAACATTGGTTGCTAAAAAATTTGTTCATTTAACTGTGTTTGTCAGAAATTACAAGACATAGACTAATAATATGTAATAACATTAAGTCATTAACATATGTACATGAACAGTAATCCTGCTTAATCATGACTAGCTCAAGATAGATAGGAAACACTAAGAAGGGAAAACAAAAGGCTGGCTGCTGTTATATGATGCTTAAACCCTACCTAGTACAGTGAACTTGAAGTCATTTGATTTATTGATATTTCAGCATACAAGTGTGTTTCTGCAGTTTCTTCCAGCTTATACTCTAAAATGTAAACATATTAACTAGTTTAATGTGTTCTGTCTAAACTTCTGCCCATATCAACAACAACTTGCTTTAAAGCTTAAGATGTTTTTTTTTATACTTAAAAGGTTCTAAGTTTTAAAAGGTTTTAAGTTTTCACATACATTTGATGGACTTAGAAAATATTCTAAAATGTCTATAATTAAAGATTTTTCATATTATCTTGATTTTAATATTTCTTATAACACTTTGATTTTCACTTAATGAATCATTTTAACCTCTGTAAAGAAGTCATCTGGTATATTACAAGTTTTCTTGCTAAATAGTAACATTGTACCATCTTTGTTAACCTAGGATTGGCCTGAACTTGTTTTACTGAATTATAAATTATCTATCACACACACACACAGTGACAAAAATCTCATCATACAAAAACTAAGGTCAAATATCTTTAACAAAGAATTAGTTTATTTAGTTCTTGTAGAAAAGTCTTGTGAAAATTTGTAAGGAAAAGTAATTGTAATTTCAGACTGTTACAACAGTTTAGGATCAAAAAAGCAATTCCTCCCATTTTGTTGTACCTGAAGAAACCTATCGTATTAAATAAAGTTTATTCAAAAAGTTCTAACAAACAAACCAAAACAAGCTGAAGACAGGAAGATTAGTCTCATGTCAGAATAATCTATTAATGAGTCTGACAAAAAATCAATTAGCAAGTTTGACCTATTGAAACTGGATTTAAACTCATAAGCAGAGAGATAAATTAAAAACATTTAGTAGATTGTTCCATTAGATACCAGTATTTACATAAAAAATCTATCTGGGTTCTGGAATCAGTGGTTTTTAACATTTAATATGTATTTCTATAAATATTATTTTGCATAGTCACTTATTATAAATTACATGCAGCTAATTTCAACAACTTTTCAAGTAAAAAATTTTCAAATATTTTTAGGTTTTTAATTTCCATTCTTTAAATATAAAATAAACCACCAATTTTGTATCTAATATTTTTATCATACTTATTTTATTTTTGTGATGCTACAAGTGTACCAAGAAGATAATTCTAGCTTAGTTTTCCTTGCAATATACATTTAAACTTTCTTGATGCTTAATTTTATTCAATTACTTTGGCTTTCAACAACTTTTCTTTAGGACTGTTCCCTTCTGTTATTACATAGGGTAATCCATGTCGTAACTTGCACACAACACCACAGTAACCCATACTGTGCAACCTACATTTTCATTTTACTTCTGATGAAGAAAGGTCTACATCCTTAGAATATCTGAACATTTGAATTTAGACATACATGCCCAAAATATAATTAAATAATTTATGTTTATTTCAAAGAAAAAATTAATCAATATTGTTTTAGGAAAACCAGATACCAGCCCTGTCTCTATGACTATCTAAAAATAGGCATTGCCTAAGTTAAAATCTAAAGTACTGAATATTTTCAAACATGTCCCTGACCTTTAAAAAAAAAAAGGTTATTTCATTCAAAATATCTTTGATATACACAAGGAAAAAATTTTTATGATAAATTGTTCATCTATCAACCTGATATCTCACAAAACAAATAGATTTACTCACTTGGAAGGAGATAGTACTTCAAAACAGAAACGTCTGTCAATTTCTGTAGCTGGTTTCACAGAACACAGTCTCAAATCTTCCTCCATTATTGTGATTATACACTCTCTTGACCGCTTTCTATACACCAGTTGGTTGTTTTGAATTATAAACCAGCGTCTGAAGAAGAAACATCAAGCCATACATAACATAAAAGCAATGAAGGGGATTAAAGTTCAGTCCACAGAGTATGCAAAGTCTTAAATACAATGATCAACATGTAACTGTAAGTCCCAAGTTACTTGCTTAACTAGTTTCATAATACAGACATTTCATTTCTTTGTATTTAGCCCCTGGTAAGATATATTTATATATTAAATACATTTTTAAAAACTTGGAGACTCAAAGTTTATTGTCAGTACTTTAAGAATTAAGACCAATTTTCACCTCTGTTAAACTTTAGTTATCAAAAAAACATGTGGCACATCTAAGTCATGGAAAAAACTAAAAAACGATACATTAAATGCATAAATAATAACCCAAAGGGTAAACACATTTTCCATAATTTTAAATTAATTGCAACACAAAATAGTAATTCAACACCATGCTCTATACACGTATGAATATAATCAGTGCAGAATTGCAGTATAATAACAGGTTACCCATAAAATTGAATGAATCATAGCACAGTGTGAAAATGTAATAGCAGGTTTCCCATAAAATTGAATTAATCATAAAACAATGTGGCAGTGTAATAACAGGTTACCTGTAAAACTGAATGAATCATAGCACAGTGTGAAAATGTAATAACAGGTTACCTGTAAAACTGAATGAATCATAGCACAGTGTGAAAATGTAATAACAGGTTACCTGTAAAACTGAATGAATCATAGAACATTGTGGCAGTGTAATAACAGGTTATCCATAAAATTGAATTAATCATAGAACAGTGTGGCAGTGTAATAACAGGTTTCCCTTAACCTTAAATTAACTAGAACAGTGTGTCAATGTAATAACAGGTTTTCTACAACCTTGAATTAAGTAGGACAGCATGGCAGTGTAATAAGAGGTTTCCTACAATCTTGAATCAACTAGGACAGTATGGCAGTGTAATAACAGGTTTCCCATAAACTAGAATTAGCAAGGACAGTGTGGCAGTGTAATAACAGGTTTTCCATAAACTAGAATTAACTAGCTCAGTGTGGCAGTGTAATAAAAGGTTTCCCATAAACTTGAATTAACTAGGACAGTATGTCAGTGTAATAACAGGTTCCCACAAACTTATATTAATAATATTACAGTGAGACAATGCAAAAACAGGTAGAATCATGCAACTGGATAATTAAAACTAACAATACAAATGCACAATTCAACAAACTCAATTTTAGTGACAGTACTATTACTTTCACTGACACTATAATCATAAATTTCAACAAACTCTGATTGGCATTGATATTACAATCATATATTTCAACAGTCATTTTCATCGATACTACAATCAAACATTTCAACAAACTCAGACTGGCATCAGAATGATACATTTCAACAGTCACTCTCACTGATACTATAACCACACAGTTCAACAAACTTATTTCACTGACACAAAAACCACACAGTTCAGCAAACAAATTACAATGACATTATGACCATACAGATAAAACAACACTAACATTACAATCAATGAATTAATAATGCAGACTGACTATACAACTATATGGGCCAACAAAACATCTCCATTACTAGTGCAATGAAACAAACAGTTCCAATTTTATCATAAGTCAAAAGTTAATACTCTAAAAATATTAAAATGACCTAGAAACTACCTGTTCATTCAATGTTGAGTGAGTAAACTAAATTATTGTGAGGAAAATTAGTATAGTAATAGTATACACTTATTCTAAGCAATGTTTATGGTACATTTCCAATGCAGTCATTTATAATAACAAAAAATTTGTAAGGACACATTCATCGATACAGGAATTCCTCAGAGGAAGAGCTATGCAAACAACACAAATAATTAGTCAATACATTACCTATTCCAGGTTTTGAAGGCATTTGATGTTCGTTTGAAGAGATACCCTTCTTGTCTGATGCTATTTTCTGACTGCTCATTTCTTACCAAAACAGGGATCATATCCTGCAAATACACATACATGCTATTTGTTGACTGATATAATTACATTTGTAACTATTGGTGTTCTTTAAAAAAACTAAGTTTAATAGAAAGTTTTAACACAAATATTCAGATTTATTTCCCACACATAAAGAACTATCAGTCACAACAACCTGTATAAAATATTACTGAACATAATAACATTTATGTACCGTTTAATTGTCTCATTTAAATCCTGCAGATAAAAATGTTACAGTAATGTTCATTAACAAAGAGTATAAATGTTACATTTCTGCAATGTCTCACCTTCTGGGTAACAAGCACATGTCTTCCTTCTACATTCTTTTCTAATGCTGTAGTCTCTTCTTTTAACTTCGTAAGCTATAAAACAATTTTCTAAAGGTGACACATCTGTTGTTAAGTTATCTTACTTCAGTCTCTTATTTTATAAAGCGCACTCTGATAATTCATCTAATGATTAAGTTACAATTTACAAACACAATACAGTTTAATATGAAATACCAATTCTTAAACAAGAATACAAATTATTGCAGGAGTGTACTTGCATCTTTTTAAAAATATCCTTGAAAAAGAAAGTTTATAACATTGCTAAGGCATAAAAGATTAGAATCATTAGTCAATTTCAAAAATGCATCTCCAGCATTATTAAAATACTTCTAAACACACTAAAACACATTTCATGAAAATGGGAGTCTATTACACTAGTATTCTACTTAACACTGACGTTTTTTCTTTAATCCTCAAACAACTATGCCAACTTAGCCAGATGTCCATATGAATTAGGCTTCCAAAGATCAATTCCTACATAACAGCCAAAATAATTCAGGCACTATAACTAAAGGTTACTTACAAAACACCAAAAAATTATTACTTTAGAAAAAAATTTCTTCCATAAAAACAAAGAACAATATCTGGATTTGGATAACAATATCGCAAATCAAGTTTATAATAAAATGGACACTTAAATTTAAAGTCATGAGCTTTTCACTTACAAACATGAATAGTCTAAATAAGTTACTTTACAATGTTTACTACTCACAACTTTTAAATCTAATAAAATTTGTTCAACATTACTAGATTGTGGATATTCTAAATAAGTTACTTTACAATGTTTACTACTCAAAACTTTTAAATCTAATAAAATTTGTTCAACATTACAATATTGTGAATATTCTAAATAAGTTACTTTACAATGTTTACTACTCACAACTTTTAAATCTAATAAAATTTGTTCAACATTACTAGATTGTGGATATTCTAAATAAGTTACTTTACAATGTTTACTACTCACAACTTTTAAATCTAATAAAATTTGTTCAACATTACTAGATTGTGGATATTCTAAATAAGTTACTTTACAATGTTTACTACTCAAAACTTTTAAATTAATAAAATTTATTCAACATTATGAGACTGTGGATAGAGCTCGTAAAGTCACTCATTTTTCATAATTGATATTTCTCCTTGTACATTTTAAACACAAAATTCATTTAATTTTGTGAGGATTCAACAATATTCTTGCTACTACTTTCATGTTTTTACTTTAAATACTTTGGATATTGTTTTGTGTAATGAACATCTTTAATGTATTAACCACCATTGGTTTTACGTCTTGTTAGTTAAAATTCTTATTATATATATATACATATTTATTTATTTAACACTAGCTCTATAACAGTTCTATATAAAGTATAACATTATGCCTTCAGTTTAGTTAAATTAGTTTTAATGATTACTTTCTTTGCCATATTAACAAGTGTTGTAACCTTCCTTATTATTATTATTACTGAACTTTCTGGAGGATTACCTCATTTTCTTTTTTGACTTTTACAGAAGATTTAACATTATTTATTATTAAACTTCCTGTAGTTAGCTCTATGTGTTTGTTAAATGAGAGTGGTAATGTTAGATACACCTCATGGTACATTTAGCATGTTGTTTTCTGTTTCTATTATGTTTAACAATATTTTCATGGATGATTTAGGTATTCTTTTAATTTTTTTATTTTGCATCTTCATAAACATTCGTTTTTGGTTGCATTATTGGTAAATTACTGTTAATAGCTTGACACAGTTTAAACAGTTACATATTGTAAATTTTGTCATAGATGCCACTCTCTAAAATTACACTGCAGAGTCACTTAAAGAGTTTTCATTGGCCAAATGACTTGTAAGGGAGAACTGGAGAAAAATCAGCCATGTCACATTTTCAAAGAAAATTTATTTTATTCAGCAGTTCAAACCAACAGCTAGTGTTTCTATGTTCCCTAAGTAAGGTATATTATTTATTGTTTCTTTCATTAACAGTATTGGTTAGACTGTTTATTATATCAAATGTTATTACTTTATAATTTTATTTTTTATTATCATACTTTTATCATAAAGACTGTTTTATACTGTTAGTCTAATGTATGCATGTAGGACTAATCTTAATCTCCTAAGCTGGCCAAACCTCCTTATATATATTACTAGGGTTACAACCAAAAATATTGTTGATAGCAAGGATACCCAGCTGGTTAAACAACTTATTCTAATCTTTATAAGTACGAATGTAAGCAAACATTTAATTAGCTATAATGATTTCCAGGTTAATTTTTAGTTTTGCTTTAAGTACATTGCTTACTGATCGGAAGTTAATATTAAATTAGTTGTGTTTTAATCACTTTCTAAGTGTATCTATGATTTTCTTGTAATTTTATTAACCATATTTATATGATGTTAATTACCAATATTAATAAGCTAGAATGTAAAATAAGAACCTCCTGTCTTTTCTATATGCTGAGATATGCCTTATGTAATAAATCAAACACAAAGGCCACGCTCACCTCTTTCCATTTTTGGAAATGCTCCCTTATATACATGTAATTCTGTCTATGACTTGTGAATAACCAATCAAACGACAATTCAACTGGACCCATACAGAGATTCATTAGTGAAAATAACAGATGAAATATAAAGTTCTTTATTAAGAAATGTTTGATAACTATCTCAGTATCTGGACATTATAAAGATTTCGGTTGTTAAATTTGAAAATGTTCTAATGCATAAAAGTATTTTAAATCTTAAAACAAAAATTACTTTGAATGTTGGATAGGCAACATTTGAAAAGAAAAAAGGCACAAGAAAAACACTGCTTAATAAAAACAATCTGATATTTTGCATATGAAAGCCTTGTAATGTTTACTGATAATCTGCCAAATTATTTCTCAGTTGAGTGTAGAGTTGATATAATTTGATATCAATGGATTTTTTAACTTCTGATTTTCCAAAGCTGAGCATTGTACAGAATTTGATTTTGGTCTCAGTTCATGATATGGCTTCTTTGGTAACTATGTTCTGTAAATGCAGATTTTTCCAGATGTGTCAGTCTAGTTCTATTGTATGTTCTTTTAATCTTTATTAAATGGTTCAACCTGTTTTTTCAATGTATTTCCACATGAACATGGTATTTTGTAGAAAAGTTAATTTTGTTTTTACTTGTTGATGGGTTGTTTCTCTTTCATTAGGGTGTTTGGAGAATTTTTCCATATTTGAAATAAACTTTTGTGTTGAACTTGTGGTATAGCCTCTGGAGAAACACTAAACAATAAAAAGACACTACACAGTTAATAACTGAAGAATGCCTCAATATAGAATCAAAAATATCATCTCACTTTAGAAACAGGCAGGAGCAGACCAATAGAGCCAAAACTCCACTATTTATCAGTTGCTTATAAATATTGGGTTATTGTTTTTATTTTAAACTGTAGAGATGAACTTCTAAAAATTATTATACATTTTGGTAATCAAATTATTGTCTAGTCGTATTATAGACATAAATGATACAAGAGAAATTTAATCTTCAATAGTGTTCCCTCATTCAATAACTTTAAAATAATACCAAGCCTGTGTCTGTATTTGACATGCATGTTTTCTTCTTGTCATGTAGGAAAAAAATGTGCATGTCAAATAGACACAGGCTTGATATTATTTTGAATATAAAAGAAGGGCAGAATTCATACCAAGCAAAGATAATAAAGAATATACTGTAAAATCTAGAAAGGGTGATCATCAGTACATATATTATAATAGCCAGAAAACAATTATATATACCATAACATAAAGAAACACACAAATTTCCAACTAGTACAAAATACCACCTCATTTTAAAAAGACAATTCTACTCATTATTTTCTACCATATACTAAAGGATAAATAAACTAGCATATCAATGAAAAAGACTCTTACAGTGACAGCTACTTGCTTAAGGAAAGGATCAAAGTCTTGGATGAGGTCCCATCCTTGGTGGAAGTATGTAGTGTAAGCATGCATCATAGTCAGCAACTTAGAGAAAGAAAAAATACAGTCAACATACAAATTTATGTTAAATAACTAAAACTGTTCTGTGTGTTCAGGTTACATTTCAAAAAATTATCAAGCACAATAAAAAATGTGGATTCAACAACTTTACTGCCTGTAATGACAGCATATTCAGTGTTGCTTCTGGGATGTGTAATTACGTTATTTTGATTGCCACAGCACAAAATAATCATTTGCCAGCATACTAGTCCCCCCTTCAAAAAATAGAAATACACATTATAATTTTTTTGTGTGTGTCTGCCCTTCAAACTTTTTATGAATGATTTCATAAGGATAGATCGAGATCGTAACAGGAAAATTCCGAATAGTAATTAGTTCATTTGGATATGCGAAGGAATGTGATTGGCTGCATTATGAGATCATTTGGTTTTGTGGGAGATTTCCTTGATATTATGGGACAGTGACGATTGAAAATGGGAGAAAAAACGAAAGGTATGAAGACATTCAAGAAGCAGTTAATTTTCAAAAAAATTACTACATTTACCCATCAAAACGATGGAAAAATAGAAATAAATAATGGACAAAGGCACAGAGAAGATCACTGCAAAGTAAGTTTTGTCATTGAATGCATAGATGATTCAATGAAAGTGGATTAAATAAATGATAAGATTTTAGCTTACATACCATATTTACAGTACATATACAAATGAAACATTGCAATGATTCAATTTACTGTTTCTTCAAATAAAAGTTACTTGATCGTGTTATGCTTTTATGACTCGTGAAGTTGAAATGTACTTCATTACATGGATGGCCCACTTTCTGGAAGTCAGTGGAGGATTTGGCCAACTCTAGAAAAATCTATTAATATTAAACATTTATATTGGTTTGAATACAATCCCATCTTTTGTGTTCCACAAAACCTCCTAGTTATAAACTATTGCAGTTGACTTATTCGTAACATTGACATACCGTGCTGCTAATAAAAAAAAATCATAAGACGGAAGAAATTTTGACAAAATGCATTTTCACAGCTGGAAATCCAGAGTGATCAGCTTCTTTGTGTTTTGTATACTAGAGATGTGGCGAGTAAGAAAATTCAGATTGCTTATACATATTTCATATTTATGACTGAGACTGTATATGTATAAACATGACATTCATACTTGTGTATTAAGTATGTGTACAGCTCGAAAAATTTCTAAATTTACCACTTTTGTAAGATATTATGCTAACAAGCATGCAAGTACAAGCATTTTATTAAAACAAAGTAATAGACCATCCTCCAGGTCAATAAATTAAGCCAGACCTTCTGGAAATGGCCAGTAAAATTTCAACTGGTATGTCCAAATATCTAATAATTTGGCCTGGGGATTCAATTCTTTTCTTTCAAAAATTGTATGTGTGCATGATGCATGATGAAATATGCTAAGTCCGAGATACAGTAAAGTGCTTTTATGTACTAAGTAGCCTATTTAAATCATTCTGAACAACATTTCATTTCAAAAAAATTTTTTTATTGACTTCTTTTTTTAATTAATTCCTGCCATTTGTTTTATGTGCTGCAGTATACAGCAATGGACTCAGTCTCATAGGCCTTGGTAGAACAAAACCATTTCACACATTTTCATTGAAACCACAGCAATGGATTATAATTATATAAGTACACAAAGTAATATTCACAATCACTTATAATCATTCTACATTAATCACTGCAACAGAAAATGACATATAATTCCATTATCAGTTCATATTACAAACTGTCTGGTCCAATTCAATTTCTGTACCCTCGAGATGTAATTTCAACATTATAAAACATGCTCTCATTCAGCACTGATGTGCCAGGAATTGAAAGAATATTACAAGCAACATTGAAAAGCACTGAAGAAATTGTTTGTGACTCTCCTAGTATTACAGAAATTCCTTCTTGCTCACTTCCACCAGATAATGCTTCAGTTCATTTTCAATTATGATCACAGTTGACTGGCTGAAAGTTCTAGCAACTGAGTCAATCATTGCCATCAGATGACAAAAGCACACAATAGAATCATCATCAGAATTCTGTTCCAATTGATGTGCCTTTCTTCCAGGGTCCTGTTCCGGGCAGTGGACTTGTCCAAACATGTGTGCTTTCAAACTACTTGACCAGATAAGACAGTATCTATGAACTGGACCCAAAAATGTTGTAACAGTAAAATATAACTGATAATACGGATTAGTGGGAGAAAGAAAATAATTCAAGTGATGTTCTATCTCTGACTTGAGATTTACAGCAATGGCTTCAAATCCAGGGTGATTTTTGAACTATTTGCAATGAGCTACAGAAAATATGGAGTCACTTGGTGAATGGTTGATTGCTTTTAGTATTACAGATACGCCCCTTCTAGTACAAATTCTTTCAGAAGACAAACAAGATTTTCCATCAGTTGCAATTGGGGCTCAGACACTCCTACATTCAGCTGATTTTTGCAAATGATCTCATTAATTTTGGGGGTGCAACTACAAAAAGCAATATAATACATAGTAGAGATGAAGTCACAATGTGCATTTTGGACTAATCAATTTCTGTCTGCTTGGCTTAAATAGTCAAGCCATGAAGAGTAAATGCTTTGGTGACTGCAATAAATAAATAAATAATAAAAGTAATAAATCTCTAAACACTGATTCTTTTCAACAGATGCATGGCAAGTAAGGAATAGATGATGAGCAAAACAGGTGTTTCTGACAGTCAGAAGTGGAAAAATACTCATTTTTGCATTGCTCAAATTCCAATGCTTTGTCAATTTCAACCCCCAAATTAGGTACTATGGTTTCATCTTCCTTTTCTCCCCAACTTGTTCTATTTATGAAATTACGAGTTTCAACATCTCAAATTTCTTTGATCACATTAAAACTATTATTAGTGACAATGCATCTCCCTTTACTGTCCAGAGTTTTCTATTCTTCAAGATATTTGTTAACTTTGCACATTAACAGAGAGTGAATATACCAGAGGATATTAACTGTGAAGTGACAGAGACAAAGTAGGTATAGAATTTCTGATATTGCTGTAAACATATGTAGCAGTAATTAACATTGACATCAGAATTCATAGTGAGTGAGATTAACAGCACAAATGTCAAAAATAAAATCTGAAGTATGGTAGGAAAGCAGAGTTTATGTAAGATCTCCTGGTGTATGCACAATAATTCATGTAGAAGGTGGAAGAGTGGGAAATTATGGGTAATTGATACATGCTCTGTAATGGATTAATAATATACAGAGATTTGGGTCACGTGGTTGAGGAAGAGTGGGAAATTAGTGGTAATTTAACATGCTCTGTAATGGATCAATAATATACAGAGATTTGGGTCACGTGGTTGAGGAAGAGTGGGAAATTATGGGTAATTGATACATGCTCTGTAATGGATCAATAATATACGGAGATTTGGGTCACGTGGTTGAGGAAGAGTGGGAAATTATGGGTAACTGATACATGCTCTGTAATGGATCAATAATATACAGAGATTTGGGTCATGTGGTTGTGGAAGAGTGGGAAATTATGGGTAATTGATACATGCTCTGTAATGGATCAATAATATACAGAGATTTGGGTCACGTGGTTATTGACAGCATTACAGCAACTCAACAAGGAGAAGCGTTCAGAATTTCATGGGTAAGTCTAAATGATTTGATTGTATTTTAAGCATGTTTTCTCTACTTTAGACAACAACTGGGATATTACCATCTCTTGTTTAATTTTCAGTTTAGTGAAAAAAAAGTAATAAGATAATGATTGAAATTAATAAATACTTCTATGACAAAACCTCTTAAGCTTTCAAGAACACAATGTGACAGATGAAACACAGCAGTATCTGTACTGTCAATAATCCAATCAAAAGACAAGAAATTTTTGACAAAAGGAAAGACAAGCTTTTATCTGACTTTAAATAAAATATAAACCCACTTTTCATATTTTAAACAAAGTTCAATTCTGCCATTGTCAACTACAAATTTAGTGTAGGAAAATTATTACCTAATAACTGCTATTTGTAAAATCTGAAGATTAAAATAAGTACATATGTCATGAAAGCATATTGAACACTAAGTAACCATGCATGATCTAGGGTTAAATAATTTAATACCTTGATGTCATCACACAACCTACTTCTTTATATTACACTAGATATTAACACCTTAACACATGACATACAACACTTCAATGCTCTGAGGATATCAAGTGATTTATAAGTTAGGATATAAAATATCAACACTTTCAGAATAATACACAACTCAGAAAATAACATATTTATAAAACAAATAAGCTACAACTTAATAGACAGTAACATAACACATTGAGGTCACACAATTTAGTACAATAACATGTCAACACATTCAGGATAACAGACAATTTATAGCACAGTAAACAAATTAGTGATAACTTCAGAACATCATGCTAAAAGAAGTTTATACTCGTCCAATAGCTTAATAGTGGGTTGTTACAATATTTTCTGGCTAACAGCACTAGTATTATAGGACAGTGGAACTCACAGGTAAAGCCCATATATATACTACTAGCTGTATACCCATCATATGATGGTAAATGTCAGTTAATTTTTCTTCTGAAAATTGGATCTAAATAAATGTTTTATGAACATGTTTTCTAAAACTTAATTACATTGCAGGAACAATATATGTACAAAGAATGTTTATCCTTTTTTCAAGTATTTGGTCTCCTGTAAGTTGTCCTTGATTATAATTTTGGCTTATGTATATTTTTATGTTATCTTCAAATGTTCCTCTTGATAAAGCCTTATAGATTGAACCATGCAAAAAGGCTGGTTGTCTAATAAATATTACTATATTGTCAAATTTCTGACCCTGTGATTTATTAACTGTGATGGCAAAGGTTATGAATTTTATGGTGAAGGGCAAATTTACAAAAGTATAACTTTTCATTAAAAATGCTTGTAAGTTACCAAAAGCAAAAAACATCAATAATAATGTATTGTGGCACCAAATTCTGTGTTGTAAAGTTATTTGAGTTGTTTTGGCATATACAGTCAATCGTGTTCATAACATAATATGATATTATCCTTTATTTAATCTATAATTATATTCATATTTTTATGAACATTCAAAGAGATTAGTGTAATTATGCTATTAAATATAATAAAAAAGTTAACATAAAAATCCCAACTCGATTGGGATTTGCACTTGAAACTTCCACGACACTCGGTCTTTGTAGTTGTTTGTTAACAAATAATTCAAATCCCTAATATAAAGTATCATGTTATTGTGTTTATACCTAATATATTTTTTTAAACATGATGAGTTAATACATAAAAAAGTTATAAAAAATTCCCACTTGAATGGATTTAAACTCAAGACTTTTGCTTGAGACAAACCACAGAGCCAATCTGAATATTATCTACAGAGAGTAGTGTTGCCAACAAAGAGATCATTCCGAACAGAGAGTGGCTTTTATTTTAAAGATGCTTTGATGTACAAAAACATGAACAAATTATGAATGACTTGTGTATTTTTAGTGCATACCTAGAAGCAAAGCAGTAGTGCCAACAGTCAGCTAATAATGTTATCATGGAATGTTATTCAAATATTATTGTACAGGATGGTCACTGCTGGGAGGTCAGAAAAAAACATAGCAAATCACTATGAACTAAAATCTATCATGTAACAAAGCACAATATTCTAAACTTTAAAACAGTCTGACATCACAATTACCCATTAGATTTTAAATCTAGTGGTTCATATACAGTAAAAACAACTTACTGTGTCCAAAATTTCAAATCTCTTCTTGGATTGAAGCACACTTAGCTGAAAGAAATATTATTTAACATTATTTTCTAGTAATTATTATTCAAACATTTTTTTCTTCTTTAAGTTAATGTTTAAGTCCACTTTAGTTCACACATTTAGTATATGAACCATAGTTATGTCAAATACCAGAAGAAAAACATGTCCTGTTCACAAATTTTGTTGCATTTGGAAAAAATAATCCTTTTTTTTTCATAAAGAGTATAACTATTATTTCTTATAAAAACATGTTTCCATGATATTAAACATAATGTTCTCGGGTACAAATTAATGCTTTAAAGCCCACTGATGGGTATAACATCACCTTTCAACTTGCATTAATAAAACAGAAAATTCAAACACACGACACAACTATGGAGCCTTTTAACAAATAAATTGGATTTTTTAAAATCACTTTATGAATTATAATACAATAAAATCCACTACGTAACATAGCACATGGCTACTTACTACGTTGTTATACATGATCAATGTAACTGTTGGTTTGAATACTAGTTTTCATCCATATACTATAGTAGGCATAATGATATCATGCACAAATCCATTTAGTTCACAGAAATGTTGCACAAAAAAATCACCTAAAGTTTTAAATGCAATAAAAATAATAGATATTATTTCTCTAACTTTATTTTATACATAAAACTTACATAGGTCTTTTTTTATTATAACTGTATTCACACTTTTCCAAATATTCAAAGACCCTGTTGGAAATATGATAATAAATACAAAAAGAAATAAATATAATAATAAAAAAGTTAAGATAAAATCCCAACTTGACTGGGATTTGAACACTAGACTTACATATGATGGTATAGCACTATGACACCCAATGTCAAGATACCAGGTTAGATATAATAGATAATATTTATCTCACTTTATTTCTACATAAAACTTGTATATGTCCTTCTTTTATTAATCTATGTAATGGGTTCAAAATAAGACATCACATTTTACTTTTGCTTGGGAGCTAAACACGATTCTGATTGAGAATAATGACTTCAAATAATAGAAAAACCATTACTAACACAAAAGATAAAAGCTTTGCGTAGCTTCAAGGCACCTCGAAATTTGGTAAGAAAATTTTCAACTTTACAATCTAGTGCAACTACACAATGAATGAAAATATATCTATGGTAGATAAAGTACGAGAAAATATATAATTCCAGGTTTCACGTGATATATTTACAATTTTGTCAGGTTCAGAAATGTGCAAGCTGTAAAACGAAATTTGTAGATAGTTGAATTTCACAGTTCTTGATATCATCAACTCCAAAATTCACTGTTTTCAAACTGAGCTAAAAACAAGCTTCAAAGAAGTGCAAAGATTAATGATTTGTAGATTAGTTTCTCCACTGAGAAATTATATCTGCACAGGTGGGAAATGTAATGATTTTTCACCATCTCAATAATAAGTACAACAGGAAGCTAAAATTGAAAATTAAGATAGATTCCTTTTAATTACTTCAATATATTTACATCAAAAGAAAATTTCAAACCTCAACATTTCAATTATAAATTTATTTAGGTGGTAATTTGAATGGAACATCTCATGTAATTTTTCAAAATTTGAAGTTGTCATTTTGTACTGTATAAACCCAAGGTATCAGGCTAGAAAAAGTTAACAGTAATTAAAGTTCTTTGTTGAATTTTGAATAAAACTACTTCAGGACTATTACATGCTTCACAAATTTTGAAGTGATAGACTAGAGAAAGCAGCTAGTCAACACCACCTACCACAACTCGTGCACTGCTCTAATTGAAAAGTGGGAGTTGACCATCACTCTTTAAAATCATGTACCTAATTGGCCCCAAAATGTGGAGTGAGATGTTTTGTGTGGTGTGGTAACTGGTGTGAACCATGAAACCTCAGATACATTAACCATTGGGCTGTGTTCAGACCTAAGAATTACAGAAACGATAAACTATAGGAACACAGCCACAGCTACATAAGTTAGGAAATAATAGCTTTATTTAAAAAAGAATGCTGTATTAGTTATTCTAGGCATATTTTAGTTAGATTTAAATACACTACTTCTTTAAGTTTTCTAATCAAGATTAAAGCAACTTGTTACTTACTTGAGCAGCATAATCTAGTGCTGAATGCTGAAAGATAGAACGGGTTGATGTCAGAAGATTTCCAACTTCTTCACATTCATGGGGCTTGCTCTTTGGTACTTGTGAGTGACGAATCAGTGCATTGTCAAAATCATCACTAATCTTCTCAAAATATCGCTTGCAGTCTTTTGTTTTTCGAATATCACTAAAAACATTAATTATATAAATAATGCCCATAAAAATATTAAACATTTCATAGATATTACTGTTAGAAACACTACACACTAAAAATACAACTCCGTTTTTCATACTTTTTTTTTTCAGAACAATAAAATTATATCAATACAGAAACAATCTATGAAACATTTGTTTGATCAAAAGATTAAAACGTTTTTAAACATAATTTATTAATTTATAATAAAAATATAATTTAATATCATGTTAATGTATATTTACTTATGTAGCTATTTATTGGTATTTAATCTGGATATTAATTAATCCTATCGCCCCAGTTATTCTTTACTGCGCATGACACAAAGTTTTAGTGTCTTACATTCAAAATTTTATTAAACTATTTTTTGTTTATGTTATACCAATTAGAATAGCATAAAATCTTAGCTAATAATCCATATTTTAATAGTATACAAGTTTTAAGTTCTTAATTCAACAAGGGAATATTAAAAAAATCCTGAATTTCCCCTTGTGTGACCCATTTTATCTTGACATGTTATCACCTCTATTTTATCCATCACCCCTCAAAATGTACAAAATTAAAAGTAAATTATTTTCTATAAAATCATTATTGCTCAGACAAACCATACTTTTTTAGTCTTCAATTTTGTTTGGTTACAGAGCTATTGAATTGAAAATCAGACCCCTCCTGCCACACCCACTTGTCACATCCTCTCTCTCTCTCTCTCACAATTCATTGATAGTTCTCTCTTACATTTCATTATATATATTACCTATAACCAATAGAAAGTAAAGGTTTTCATCTATCAAATAACGTATTGTATAATGTTGTATTCTGAACAGAATATCACCAATTTCACTCACAGTACAAGATTCGTTCTCGTGGGAAAGTTAACGACTAACTTGGATGAATTTGTAACGGCTCTTGTCCCATAGTTAGAAAGCCAGGAAAATTTTGAGAGGTAAATGAATTTGTCTACTTTTTACATGTTATTAGTCTATATTTTTTGGTGCATTATTTAATTAAATACAAATTATTAAGTGCATTACTATCTATAGTATAAAAAATTAGGATTAACTCTCTTCAAAACTCGACAGCAAGAAAAAAAGAAGATTAGGTAAGTACTTTATTTTTTGTTTTTCAAATTTATTCTTTATTTATTAATGTCAATGTAACTAAAATCTAAAAATATGGATCTTTTTAAGGTAAAGTAATAATAATATAATTAAAATGGTTCACGAGGCACGCATGCGAGCAGCTCGTGGGTAATGTAATTCCATAGCGTAATATGTGAGCTGCATGTTCCTCAAGTGATTTACAACTTATAATGGTGTGGATAGTAGTTAGACACAGTTCAAAGGGCAATAAAATTTAATTATAAATAGATGTATAACTCAGAGCTGTTTAGGATAAACGAATGCAGTTTCATGTTACAATTTGAAGTCATTCTAGAAAGAAAAAAGGTTAATTTAGGGTTTCATGTTACAATATGAAGTCATTCTAGAAAGAAAAAAGGTTAATTTAGGATTATTTAGATTTTTTTGGTGGTTACAAGGTTGGTTGAATTGACTGACCCCGTTTTGAGATAGGGTAGAGAAAATAACAGATAAACTATGAAGTTTTAGGAATTACACAAAGGAAATTTGAGATGAGGAAAAGTGTTTTTAATTTTAACATTAAAATTACTTTGCACCCAGACTATTAAAAACAAATACTCAATATATTAATGGACAAATCTTTATTTTATTAAAAATACTTCACTCGGGTTTTTGTATGTGAAAGACTTGTAATATTAACTGAAAGACTGCCAAATTTCATGAAGATATACCCGCTATTTTGAGAGTTATAAGTATTAAATCTATAAAGACTTGAAATGAGTACAAAAAGGTCACGTGGTCAGTCAAATTGACCGAGCCTGTATTGGAAGTTTCTAGTTTGTTGTGAAACTTTAGGAAAGGTAAAGGTTGAAATCATTATGCAGATGAAATAAAATTCAGAGGGTTTAGTACATTATAATAAAATGATTTTGGACATTTCAAATCAGTAAGTAACATGACAACTACTAAAGTGACAGTGGAAAGGAATGTATCAGATCTATATTTTGACATTGTTTTGCATTTTGTAGATAGTGAATGTCACCAAAAATTGAAATATTTTTGGGAAAGGTATGTAACAGCCCTTTATGACACAAAATATTCATATACTCAGATAACTGTGGTACAGACATCGATAATTAATGGTATAATGATTGGCTGATAGAGAATTTTGTTTTATTTATCTACAGTTTAATAATATTTAATCTACAGTTTGACTTAGCAAGTGTAATGCGACTTTAGCCATAATTTAAGCATATTCAATTATTGTAAAGTTATAAAATAGGTAAAATAAATTGTATTATTACAAAAATAATCTAAAGACCACTTATTTGTCAGTTCTAATTTTAAAGATAAACTTAATTATTTTACTGAAAACATAAGCTAGTGATAGTGCAATATATTGGAATGGATGGTTTACATTTAAACAGGTTAGGGACTGGCTTGTTTGCAAGGGTTATTAACTCAATTGTAAGGGCAGTTTTAAACTAGGAAAGAGACAGAATAATGAAGAAAAAATAAGATGTCAAGAGTGGTAAAGAATGAAAACAAGATATAAAAGTAGTTTTAATGACAAGCTAAACTGTTATTACTATAATGCTAAGTATAAGAAATAAAATGGATGATATTAGAGCACTGGTTGGAACAGAGTACTCGAATTTAATGGGAATAACTGAAACTTGGCTAAATGTAGAAACTTTTGACAACAAGAATTTCTTTGAAATACAGGATTATAGGTTGTTTAATAGGGATACAGTACTAAAAAAAGGAGAAGGAGTGATATTATATGTAAAATGTGAGTTACGGCCTGTTCATGTTGAGGATATCATAGTTAATAGCAATGAGGTTGAACCTATTTGGATTTCTGTTAATGGTTATAAGGGGAGAAGGGTTTTAGTTGGAATTTGTTACAGACCACCAGATGAAATTGATGAGAAATTCTACACCAATATAAAGAATTCAACTGTTTATGAAGTTATAATTATGGAAGATTTTAACCCTTTTGAGATGGGCCACAGGTGAAAGGCAATGTCATCTCATTTGTTGCTCACACTCAAAATTTATTAAACTACTATTTTATGAATTTATGTCAATAACTTCAGCATCAAACTGTAGATTATAATTCAAATATTAGTACTATACATTACTCAATTTCTTAATTTAAAAGTAAATATTAAAAACACAGATAAACATCGATTTTTGTGTGTCACGTGGTATGTTGAATGCAGTATTGGTTCAATTTAGATGTTTGTGAAGTCAAAATACTAAGTCTACAGTTTCATATGAATTAGAAACTGAAATTACCGATATTAACAAGCTAGAATATAAAATAAGAATGTCTTATCTTTTCTATTTGCTAAGATATTACTCATGTAATAAATCAAACACAGTGGCACCCCACCCACCTCTTTCCATTTTTGGAAATGTTCCCTTATATATACTTACTTCTATATATGACATGAATAACCAATTGCAAGCTCAGAATGTCCCCCTAGTGGCTTTCTCAGCCATTTCTTTCTTTTGAACCAATATTTCAAGGAGGTAGGGCGTGTCTTTAGTCTGCTCGAAAATTCATATTTGTTTAGACTAAAATACATCTTAGTTACTAAGCTTGATTATTTATAGTGCAATTGTTTGGTATTGATGTAAGAATTTATGATTTTTTTTAGTTATTCAAATGTATAAATAAAACCTTAAAAAAATTACTTTGTTTCATATTCTCTACATGCAAAATTTTTAAAGGCTTAGCAACATAGGTCAAGCAGCAACTGAGTACAAAAGTCATAATTAGAAAAGATAACTGTTTGCTTTACTTCTTTATTTACTGTTCTATGTTTTCATAAAAATAAGTTTAAGAACTTATTTCAAATACCAATAATCTATATACATATATAATGTATAATAATTGAAATGTGACTGTATTTTACAAAATACTAGTCTACTAAAACACAGCCAAGAAAAGTTGCATTGCACAGACCAAAGGTCAGTTTTATGTTATTGGACACGTAACATGAGTGCACGTGTGCCGAGTCATTGTAACTTCTGTATTGTTAGCCAGGCAGGACTGAAAGGTCAACATAATAAAAATAATAAATATATAATGTTATAAGATTTAAGCTATTTCGTCTAAATATTTATGTTTTCATGTTATAATTTGTGTTCATTCTAGAATGAAAGAGGCATAATTTATATTTATTTCCTAATTTTGTATGGTGGTTACGAGATTGGTCAAATCTACTGAACCCGAACAGAGATTCATTACTGAAAATAACAGAACCAAAATTATTTTAATATAGTATATGCAACCTCTGTGTGAAACACACATCAACAACTATTGTATTTTGTATGTGCTTCCTTCAACTCTTTCACTGTGGCAACAGCATTTATTTCCTATGCATAATTTTTTCATGTATTTTGTAATAATATTGAGGTTTTTGCCACATATTCTCAAAGCCACTAAAACAGATTATGGTATCAGATACAATCATTTGTTCTGTGATATCGTATTCGTTCATCTTTTAGTAACATCAGATATTGCTTGTTGTCATGATATAAAAGATTGTTTGGTCTAAATATTATTGATTAATTTATATTTGTGAGTGAATATTTTTATCATTTTTAAGTTTTGTTATAATAAGAGTTAAAAGCAAATGATTGTACAAGGTTTTGTTAATAACTAATTGGTGTCGAGAATATAGAAAGTGGCCAGACGACTATGTAATAAAGATATAAATAGCGCAAAATGAGTGGGAAGCAGTAGACAGACAACAAAGACAGATAATAGCAAAAGAGAATATAATTGTGTGAAGTTAAGTACTGCAAAGGTGATAGGCCTAACGTTTAATATGTTAGAGTGAAACTAACAGTATAAAAAAAGATAAGAAGGATAATTTTATTCCATCAAAGTGTGATTCTAAAGTAATTGAATCAGCCTGGGTACACTTTGACAAAAGGAACAGAGGATTTTCAGAAGAAAGAAGATCAAACAAATTACAGTAACTTGCGCCACAACTGTAAGTGAATCACACACAGAATATTAGTATGATAGTAATATAGAGAAGATAGTTCGACTTGTCAACTGAAATTCCAAAGTAATTGAATAGGCCTAGGTGGACTTTTGACAAGAAGAGAACTATATATAAATAGTGTTTATGATATGCCTGTAATCTCTATAGTGTGAAGACTTTGTTGTACACATGTTTAACTTTTTCTGAATACATATATATTATTTGTAAACAAGTAAAGTGTGTGCTGTTTATTCATTGTTGAACTTATCGCTACCAAGTCACAGGCACCTACTGTAGAAGAATCCTAAGCCCAACAACAACATAGTATATATTTATACTATTAAGAAATATAAGTGAAAGCCATTTATTTTGACAATTGGCAAAAAGAAGAACTTGTATGTATATATATTATTTTTAAAATCTGACACTTGTGTGACATTTTTAAGCCTACTGTTCTCATTATGTAATATATTTAGCTTGACATACATATTTGCAGTGCACTCCTTACATGCATCCAGTTATCAAAACTTATTTAGGATAACTCTTAAAGCGTCTCAAACATCTACTGATTTGATTTTTTTTTGGAATTATAGGGAGGGAAGTATCTTGTATAAGTGGAAAACATAGTTGATCCTGTTTTTTCTTCAAGTTTAACATGGCTGAATACTGATATACAGTTGCAGATGTTAAGCAATAAATGTCAGAGAAGCCCCAAGATTTATCCCAAAACTTCAGTGTGAGAATATAATCCTGCAGAAGATATAAAATTTTGACATGATTCTATATTGTAACCTACACAACAAATAACCACTAGAAGAATTTAGGATTTTCTTGGGATGTGTTATAAGCACAATCAAGGTTATTATATCTGTAATCTGTAAGAAGAATACAGAAAAATAAGGTTAGTACGTGCCACAGATTCTATGGCCCAATACACACATAGTAATATCATGCCATAGACTCTATGTATATTATAGTGAAAGAGTTAACTGAAACATTACCAATATATAAATTAAAAAAATTCTCAAATACTTACGTTTTTATGAAATCATTTAAGTTCTTAATAATGGAACGTTGTGCTTGATCAATTAGTATCTTTAAAAAATAAAAATAAAACATTTTTTGAAACAAGACATTATTCCATTTCTTCCTTATCTACTAACATCGTTCTCATTATTAACACTACATTTCAGTAAATTTTAAAAGCAAACAAATTTATTACTATACATCACGTAAGCTCTCCAAATGGTTACTTTCTTCTTAGATAAAAACAATAGTAATGTATCAACATTCACTGCTATATTTTACTATACAATAGTATAATACTTTTAGAAATAATTTATTTCACACAAGATTTTGCCTGACACCTTCACAGGAGTGACACTGTGTATATTACGTTGTTCTAATAATAATCAAAATATTGATTCCAGTTGATCATAATACTAGATATAGCTGTTTTGATATATAAAAAAAGCATAATTATACTTAATACTACAAGTTCTCATCCACTCTTATACACAAGTAATTATTACTATAAGACCTAAAATGTTTTTATTCACTCACAAAAAATAAAAACAATTATTTTGAATATTATAATGCATTAAGCTTATTTATATGTACACAATGAAACAATTATTAAAGGAGTTAGATCTTACCGACTGATACTTATTAATCTCTGTCATTGCATGGATCAATTTACTGAGAGGATTCTAAAAATGAAAAAAAAAAACTTTCACTTTATCAGCAAATAGGTAAAATCAGTAAACTGAAATTTAACCCTTTCCAGCCCGATGGCATTAAAATAAGAAAGTGTTCAGTTACAGCTTTCATACATGTAGAATGAGTAGGAAATACGTAATCAATTATATGTGGGCTAAAGCATCTATGGTGAACAAATCAGGATGTGTTGTGATATTGCTTGGTAAAAATTACATATATATAACACTTTTGTGCATATCATGATCTCTTATAGTGTGATACTCAAAATTTAATTAAACAATTTTATTATTAATGTATTTCAATAAATTTAGCATGAAAATGTAGTTTAGAATTAAAATATTCAAATTATGCAATTTTAATTTTTAATTAAAAAAAATAAACAAAGAACCCAATGTTCATTCTTCTGTGTCACATGATGCATCTAAACTCCACTTTTTCCACTTCAGAATAGGAAACACAAAAAATAAGCAAAATTAAAAGCAAGAATATAAAATTTGCACCTCTTACCATCTTGATTTGCTACACTACTAATAAATTTGTTAAATTCACTAAAGAGGTTCATCCCTTCTCTTTCCAAGGTAGTTTTACTAATCAACTTTAGATGGTTGATGAACAAGTTCTTCAACAACAGGAAGAGCAAATTATCCTCTAAATAAAGCTTATCACAGTAATTTGGTTTTAGTGTACATAAGTAAACAGTTGACTGTAGATTTTTTCGGTTTTAGTGTACATAAGTAAACAGTTAACTGTAGATTTTTTTGGTTTTAGTGTATACAAGTAAACAGTTGACTGTAGATTTTTTGTCCATGATCATTTTTCTCCTACTCCAAACAGTTAAAGGAATTAATCCTATTTATAGCTTACTCTGAAAATCAGATAAATTACAGTTTTTTTTTAGGATTTTATTCTAGTAAATGATATATTTTTTGTGTTCTAAAATGCATATTTGAAAGGTACATGAATATTTGATAGAAGGATTACTGATCCAGTGGTTGCAAATTCAGCAATAAAAACAAAAAATTAAAAGAAAACAAATGTGAAGTTTAACAGTTGAAGTTGTTAGGTAATTTGGAATTTTTTGATCAATATTGCAGTCAGTGCAGAGGAAACAATGATATTACTCATTTTATTCAACATTTACAAACTTTCATTTCACTGTACACTGATGATTTTTGTACAGTTAGTGTTAAGGTAGGGAAGAGATGAAATACAGTTTTACAACTAAAAATTTACATTTCACTTAGTAGGTTCTAGAAATTATGCAAATGAAACATTAAACTACGATGAAAAATACATTTTTATTCTTAGCATGAAAATCACCTCTTGCTCAGACTGACTCAGTGAAAGCTTTAGAATTTCATATATAAATCTTTTTTATAAATATTTTATTAAAAAATCTGATTTTTTATGTGTAAGAATTAATATTTACTAAAAGCTTGCTAAATTTTATGATGATACCCTTAATAAATTCAGAGTTATAGTTTAGCTTCAATGTGATCAAGTCCATGAACAGTTGATTAATCAAACATCTATGTTTCATTTTAACTATTTAGATTAATAAAAAATTTTATAACAGTTTCCTGTAATAACTTCTTCATACTGAAACTTAAAAGTTGCTTTTCAAAACAAACAAGTCGGTTTAATCAACTGTATTTATTCAATTCACAACTTTGTCTTGGTTGTAAATAGTGAAGAAAATTATAATTAAGTACCCAACTAGAAAAATTTATTCTCACCACAACTGCTGTGTCTCCCTTGAAGTAAGTTACAAGTTCCCATATCCCGTTAATGAAAAAACTGAAATATATAAAGTTCACAATAATCAAACACATAGTAACAAAGTTTAAAATTTATCCAAGATCAAGTGTGAAAAACTTACTGAAGACATGAATGTGAAGTCTTAGTATAACATAGTTATAGCATATACTCAAATATTCATATAACAAAAATGTTTATTGAAAATTGTAATAAACAGTATTAAAACTAAAATGTTCATCAATTAACACTAAAAATAAACATTTGGAATCAGAATTTTTATAGCAAACATTTTGATTTGAATACAAAAAATTATAATAAAGTTTAGAATTCATTTTACAAAGAATGATTTTCAAGAATTCTATGTTCATCAATTAAAGCTAAAAATAAACATCTGGAATAGAATTTTTATTGCAAAACATTTTGGTTTGAAGATAAAAAAATCATAATAAAGTTTATCATTCATTTTACAAAGAATGATTTTCAAGAAATTCTAAGAAAACTCAAAAATATACACTCTAAAAAAAATTTTGTTTTTTACCAAACTTTAAACTTATTCTAATTACCCCTGAAAAAATCTTTTGATGAAAATAAATTCATAATCTAAAGATTTTATCTTTTAAAAGAAACAAAGAATCATTAAGAAACAAAAATACTTGCTCTATTAAATATATATACAGAGAAAGGATGAAAAAAACTTACGCCTTGGAGTTGAGGTATGTTTTTCCAGAGTCTACCATGCAATTGCATAAACGTACTAGCTGTGAGAAATAAAAATGTATTAAATACTTATGTTAAACAGTCAATGAAGTCCCGTGTTAATAAGTAACTTGAGAGCAAGCAACTCATCTGACAAATAAAAAACACAAACAAGGTTATGTGCATAGAAACATTAGATACAAACAATACAATCTCCTTAGCACCAGTGATAATAAATGTACAAGATAATAAACAACTATTTAATAGTTATAAAATTACTGTGCCAGCAAATATCAAACAATGCATACTTGATTTAGTCAGTGTTTATCAACAACTAAATACTACAGACCATACATCTGATCTACAAAGTACTGGTAAATGCTAAAAATATTACAGAGGCTTTGCAGCACTTTTTGGTGGAAAAAAAACAGGAGTTTTCGTAGGAAAATGGCTTAAGTTATAGGAGGTTTTGGCACATCAAATACTGCAATTGGGAAATTATAGTTTATGGTTGTGTGTTCATATTTTGAGCATATATACACCTGGAAAAAAGTTAAGCACCCCCGTGTTTTTTTCAAGTGATTCAGATTCGACGTTCTTGTGACTGATTATAAATTACCATTCAATCTAAACGTGTTTATCAAATGAAATTAT